AGTCGCATCTGAATGTGATCGCGGGCAATGTGTGTCTCTATGGCGCCACCGAGGGCACCGCCTATTTCCGGGGCATTGCCGCCGAGCGGTTCTGTGTGCGCAATTCGGGCGTGACCGCCGTGGTGGAGGGTGTCGGCGATCATGGCTGCGAATACATGACTGGCGGATTGGTTGTGATCCTGGGCTTGACTGGACGCAATTTTGCAGCAGGCATGTCCGGTGGCATTGCCTATGTGTATGATATTGATGGTTCGTTCAAGCCCAAGGTCAATCCGGAGTCTGTGGAACTGCTGCCGCTGCAACTGGACGAGGATGTGGCTCTCGTGAAGCAGCTGCTGGCTGACTTTATTGAGAAAACCGACTCGAAGGTGGCCAAGGAGCTCTTGGATAACTGGGCGCAAGTGCAGTCCAAATTTGTCAAGGTCTTCCCGTACGAGTACCAGAAGGCGCTCAAGGACATGGCCGAGCAGGAGGCGGTGCAACAGCCCGCCAAGGTGGCGGCCATCGAGAATGGCAATGGCAAACACGAACCGCACATCAAGGACATCGAGGAAGCCATTCAGGATGTGGCCCTGGAGCAGAAGCGTGCCGATCGTGTGCTGGACAAGACGCGCGGTTTTGTCAAATACAAGCGCGAGTCGGCTCCATATCGCGATGCTGGCGAGCGTCAGCAGGACTGGAATGAGGTCTACAATTTCCCTCATGTGCGCAAGAACCTCAAGATGCAGGCCGCCCGCTGCATGGAGTGCGGTGTTCCCTTCTGTCAGTCCAACTCGACGGGCTGCCCGCTGGGCAACATCATACCCAAGTGGAACGATCTGGTCTTCCATGGTGAATGGCAGGAGGCACTGCGTCAGCTGCTGCAAACCAACAATTTCCCCGAATTTACGGGCCGCGTTTGCCCGGCGCCCTGCGAGGGCTCCTGTGTGCTGGGCATCTCGGAGCCGGCGGTGACCATCAAGAATATCGAGTGCGCCATCATCGATCATGCCTTCGAGCAGGGCTGGATCAAGGCCGAGATACCAGAGACGCGCACCGGCAAGCGTGTGGCCATTGTGGGCTCAGGTCCATCCGGCCTAGCAGCTGCCCAGCAGCTCAACCGTGCCGGACACTTTGTTACGGTCTTTGAGCGCAACGATCGCGTTGGCGGTCTGCTGCAGTACGGCATTCCAACCATGAAGCTGTCCAAAGAAGTGGTCAAGCGGCGTGTGGATCTCATGGCCGATGAAGGCATCGAATTCCGCACCAATGTGCACGTTGGCAAGGACACCAGCGCTGAGAAGTTGGTGGAGAGGTATGTAAAGTAAAGGGAATTCTAATGGAACCCTTGCTAATCCTTCTTTCTAACAATTTCAGCTATGATGCCGTGTTGCTGACCACGGGCTCCACCTGGCCTCGTGATTTGCCCTTGGACAATCGGGATTTGCAGGGCATTCACTTTGCCATGGAGTTCCTCGAAGCGCAGCAGAAGAAGCAGCTGGGCGGCAAGAAAGACATCATCTCGGCTGAAGGCAAGGATGTCATCATCATTGGCGGCGGCGACACCGGCTGCGATTGCATTGCGACCTCGCTGCGTCAAGGCGCCAAGAGCATCACCACCTTTGAGATATTGCCGGAGCCTCCATTGAAGCGTGCCGACGACAATCCCTGGCCGCAGTGGCCCAAGGTATTCCGCGTGGACTACGGCCACGAGGAGGTGCGTCTGAAGTGGGGCAAGGACCCGCGCCAGTACTGCACCACAACCAAAGAGTTTGTCGGTGAGAATGGCCACATCAAGGGCGTCCACACCGTCGAGGTGGAGTGGACCAAGACGGAGACTGGCCAATGGCGCATGCAGGAGGTGGCCGGCTCGGAGAAATACTTTGCTGCCGATCTAATATTGCTGGCCATGGGCTTCCTTGGACCCGAGAAGACGGTGCCCAGCGAGCTGGGCCTGGAACTGGATCCGCGCGGCAACATAAAGGCCTGCAATGGACAGTATGGCACCTCGAATCCCAAGGTGTTCGCAGCGGGCGGTAAGTTGACTTGGTCGAGTCACAAGGCAACACAGCGCACCCCTTCAATATTCTGTTTTACAGATTGCCGGCGCGGTCAATCGTTGGTGGTGTGGGCCATTACGGAGGGTCGTCAGGCGGCGCGTCAAGTGGATTCTTATCTGACCGGTTTTCCCAGCGGCTTGCCCGGACCTGGCGGTGTCATTGATCCCACAGGCCCCAGGTTCTAAGTACCTGATGATGCTGGCGACGATGTGGATGTGGATGAGGAAGAGGAAGTGGATGGTGATGCGGGGAGTCTGTTTGTGTGTGCGTGCGTCGTCCTTAGCTTAGAAAAATTCGTGTGTTTTCGCTCGAAAACCAATTTACAATTTGTGATTTTTATTTTCGCGATTTTAGTTTAGTTAACACTAAAAAGACTTGAGTTTTTTTACACTATTAAACACGTATTCCTTTTGGTTTTATTTTATGCGACGCCACGCCACGCCCACATGGCGCTGCTGGCCAGGCTAGCCGTCGCGATGCCCTCCAAGACGATGTTGCAGATTGAGTCAATTACGAGTGCAAATCGAAATGTTTCGGAAATCCCAAAATTCTGGGGCTAAAACAAATATCCAAATTCAAGGACAATAACTAGAAATTAACCGTTGCCGCGTTTTGAAAACCAAAAAAAAAAAAAAACAAAAAAAACTATAATATCATATAATAGATATGCGTTTGTGTTTCATATCGATATCGTACTTATTTGATTTATATTTCGTGAGCTGTTTAGAAAAATTGGTATGCTGATTCTTCCCCAATTAATACAAATATTTATAGCACTGAAAACATATATATGTAATCGTCTCAGCTTATATCGAATTGCATTTGTAGATGTTGTTCGTTTTTTGAGCTACAGCTGATCGTTAATTGCAAAGTACCTACAAACGATTTACAATATGTAATAACAAAATAAAAAGAAAATTTGAATTTTCAGAGCCACATGTTAAGTGTCCTCTACCATTATTAATCTATATACATAAATATATACGAACAACTTAATTATGCATTACAATATATACCTTCTGTATACAAACATATATATGAAATAAAATGGTGAAGTATTAAATATATATTAAAGTGTTGCAAGCAAAAATCAAAGAGCATTATTTGGCATTCAAATGTTGGCGCTCAAATGTTAGCTGTTAAAAAGCTCACTGCTACATCACCACCCGATACATCGATTTCATTTGAAATATCGTTTACGTGACTATCGACTTTTCCGAATCGATGTTACCTGCTGTCAGTGTGTACATATTGAACAAATAAAAAATAACATTTCTTTTCGCCATAGGGCAGCACTGTGCGTCTTTCGCACGCGTATTTTTGTGCAGATTTCGTGTAGAAATTCATAGTAATTTGTTGTGAATATAGTGAAATACAGCTGCAATTATGGCACAATTCGATCTAACACGCATCAATTGTCAGTATCTGGACAGACACTTGACTTTTCCACTGCTGGAGTTTTTATGCGGCAAGGAGGTTAGAAAAATTCATTGCTTCGTGTCACCGTCATCAGCACGGGCCAAAATGTCGAACAAAGCGCGTAATGTTTATATATTGTGTATATTGTGCAGATCTACAATCAGCAAGAGCTGTTGGAGTACATTCTGGAGACGGTGAACAAGACGAACATGATTGATTACACCATGGACACGCGCAAGCGTCTCAATCTCAGCCAGGAGATGCCGGATGAGCTGGTGCAGCGCAAGGCCGAGGTGTTGGCCACACTGAAGCAGCTCCAGAACGAGGTGGCGCCCATCATGAAAGCCACCGATATCCTGAAGAACGGCGAAAGCATGAAGGACTCGAAGACCTTTGTGAATGCGCTGCAAAAGGATTACAACTTCAAGGTGGAGCATCTGGAGAGCGCCTACAAGTTGGCCAAGTACTTGTATGAGTGCGGCAACTACCAGGAGTCCACATCATATTTGTATTTCTGCCTAATTGTCATGTCACCCAACGACAAGGTGGGTCACTTTTAATTTTACGCCAGGATTGGTGTTTTATTTTGAATCCTTGCAGAACTACTTGAACGTGCTGTGGGGTAAGCTGGCCGCTGAGATTCTGACCCTCAACTGGAACACTGCACTGGAGGATTTGACGCGTCTGCGCGACTACATTGACAGCGCCAATTTCTCTACTATCCAGGCGCTGCAGCAGCGCACCTGGCTGATCCACTGGTCGGTGCTGGTGTTCTTCAACCATCCTAAGGGACGCGACCTCATCATCGAGATGTTCCTGTACAAGCCGCTCTATCTGAACGCTATACAGACGATGTGCCCGCACATTATGCGTTATTTGGCCACCGCTGTGGTCATCAATCGCACGCGTCGCAATGCGCTCAAGGATTTGATTAAGGTCATACAGCAGGAGTCGTACACGTATCGTGATCCCATCACCGAGTTCCTCGAGTGCCTCTACGTGAACTTTGACTTTGAGGGCGCCCGCCTGAAGCTGCATGAGTGCCAAACGGTCATTTTGAATGACTTCTTCATTGTCGCCTGCCTCAACGAGTTTGTGGAGGATGCGCGTCTAATGATCTTCGAAACATTCTGCCGCATCCATCAGTGCATCACCATTAGCATGCTGGCCGACAAGCTGAACATGAAGCCCAACGAGGCCGAATGCTGGATCGTCAATTTGATACGCAACGCACGTCTGAATGCCAAGATCGATTCGAAGCTGGGTCATGTGGTGATGGGCACACAGCCACTCAGTCCCTATCAGCAGCTGGTGGAGAAGATTGACTCGCTGTCCATGCGCTCGGAGCATTTGGCAGGTCTGATTGAGCGCAAGAGCAAACAAAAGAATCAAGAATCGATTGACTCCTGGAAGTACTATTAAGCATAAGATAAACATTATTTTTTTGTATTTCAAACCGTAGCCAATGATGTCTGCGTGTGCTTTACAATTTGTCGAAACACAAACACAAACAACACACGGCGCGAATAAAACAACATCCTCTACTCGCAGCCTGAATGCCAATGCTGTATTCCATTTAACATCAAATTTAATTTAATTTCCATATGGAATAAGTTACAAAACAATACGGAGGCCGTTGAGAGCCGCGGCTATTACAAAAATTTACAATTTGTCTAGCCTATAATGCAATTGGGTCCTAGTCCTAGTCCTAGTTCTAGTTCTCTATTTATAGCTTCTTGTACCAATGACTGTGCGCCTAGCGCAGAACGAAGATCATACGATTAGTTGCTACCTCAATTTGTCCTTTGCCGCGGAAGGCTTGACCACCATCCAGGCACGCGTCGGCAGATTCTGCAAATGGATTATCCACTTGCGCACCACCAGCAGCCAAATGATGCCATAGACCACGCACACCATGGCCTCCAAGTAGTAGCCATCAAAGATTATTTCGCACTTGCCGTCAGCCGTGGTGCAGGCCTAAAGGAACACGGCAAAATGAATAAGGAAATCTATTCATTGGCATTAAACAACAAGGAAACTTGCCTGCTGTCCTTCTTTGTTCTCGCAGAGATTGTCGGGCTGTGTGGTACACTGCTTTACGGTCAGCACGTCCACCAGCCAGAGCACCACCGTATTTGGCCAGTTGCCACCGAGGTTGCATAAGGTATTGAGGAATGTCATGTAGGTGCCACCAACGGCGGGATCGGATATCTTGGCGAAGAATGCCATAGCTGCCACAAACATGGAGTACAGAAATACCTGATAGCAACCATAGCTAACGATCAGCAGCACATAGTAGTAGACGGGCACCTCCCCTCCAGCGATCATATATGGCGTAGCATAGGCGATAAGCGTGGCCACAGACGCCAGCAATATGCGGTAGGGTATTGCCTTTAAGTACACATCCATGGGACGCGGTCCGTTGGTGTATTTACCCACCAGAATGGGAAGTATGAGCTGCAGTGGAATCACGGGAATGGCCAACAGGGCTAGTTTCTCCTTCGGCACGCCGGCATCGATGAGCTTCAGTGAGGTAACCGCATCGGAAGCGGCAAATGTCACTTTTACCGTGAGCAGAATACCAGCCAGGATTTGGACGGGTCGCTTGCGTACCATGTCCCACAGGACTTTATAGCTTTCGTGTATGTTTAGTTCGTGCTCCTCCTTGTAGCGCGCTTCAGTGTGGGCATCCTCAATGTCGTTCTCGCGCTTGAAGAGGGCGACCAGCGTGGTGGCCACAATGAATGTGACGCCCCAGAACCAGAGGAAGCGTGGCAACGTTATCATGCCCTCATCCGCTGGCACGGAGCGCAGATACGAGTTACAAAAGTCTTTCGACTCGAGCGCAATAAACACGACATAGCCCAAAAAGTAGCCGGCCGTTTGGCCCACGCTGTTGCAGGTGGATGCGTAGCCAACATTGCAGCGCTTCAGCATGGTCAGGGCCCAGCCATCGACGGCAATGTCCTGCGTGGCGGCCAAAAAGTTGAGCACAAAAAACAACAGCGTCAGAAGCGGCACATTCGGTTCGATGCCATCGCCGCCCAGCCAGCGATCCACGTGCGCCGACAGCAGCAGCATGAAGCCGCCCAGCAGATACTGTACGGGCACCAGCCACGACTTGCGGCGTCCGAAACGTCGCACATACAGCGAGTCCACAATGGGCGCCCACAGCAGCTTGATGCTGAAGGGCCAATAGGCAAAGGAGAACTCCGCCTGCTGTTTGTAGCTGGCGCCGCGATTCTGTAGCAGCATGGGCACTGCAGCAATGAGGCCAATGGGAATGCCCTGCAGCACGTACAGGAACAGGAGTATGGCAATGTTGCGTCTATCGCCGAGCAAATCGGGCTTCTCCTCTTTGTCTTCTGCATCGGCCATGGACTCGACGAGCTCCCGGCCGTCTTTCGTTTGACCCCGGCGACGTGCGGACATGTTGTGGCCTGCAAACACAGTTAATCAATTAGGTGTGTGCTGCACATGTTCAATTTTGTTGCTCGATTTGCACTCACACGCAGCGGCTGTAATCAGCAGAGAAGTTACAACAACAGCAGCAGGTCCACGTCAGTTAACGGCGGCAAGCGTTAGCAATCTGTTACGGATATGTGCAGGTATGTATTAGTTATTTCGATCGCTAACCCTAACTCCAAACTATGTTTAACAAATTAATTTATGCAATTTATTCCATAATGTGAGTATGTGGCGACGGTTTGTTGACGTTTGCGTTTCCCTAAACACAAGTACTTTTCATATTTAGTGCGACGATTCATGTGCGTCAAATTAGCGGCGGTGAGTTAGCGTCGAATTTTGGTACTTGGTATCGGAAAAGGAATCGGTCACTTTAAAATGCATTTATTTATGTTTTTAAGCACAAAACCAAATAAATTTAAATGCAGAATTGCAATAAATTAAATTATTTACTATCTATATTCATTTATTTTTGAATTTTAATTTATAATATGGGTAAACCAAGGGGTTAAAATATTAGGTTTTCACCATTCCATAAACATTTAAATTTAGGGACGATGGCCCCGAAAACCGCATATACACGATTAAAGCCTATAGTTTCTCCTACCCAACTGTGAAAATTTGATTAAAATCGTCGGTACCATTTTTAAGATATTTGGAAAAGAGTGCAACAACCCCCAAGTCAGCCCCATATAAAATGACCGCAAAAAATCAACCTTGTTTTCGAGCCCTTATTTCTTAGCTCAGAGACAATGGCCCTCAATGCACGGTATACCCTCTTGTAGATAGATATTTTAAGAAGCTTTAGGCACTAATTTTAAGTAAATGGACGGTACAGATTTTGAGAAAATTAATTAATTGTAAGCCAACCTCATATAGTTCATTCAAAAAGTCTATCGAACTGCTAGTTCCTACGTGAACTGAATCACTGCCTGGCATCAGTGTTGAACAATTTTGTACAGAACTGAGCGGGAACCAACTCAATTTGAATTATATGTAATCATGAAAAAATGGGAAGGACTCAAAGTAAATTAAATTAAAAAGTCAAAAAAAATTATATGAGAAGTATTAAGTCATACTTAATAGCGCAGTTTATGAAAAAAATGCAGTTTTCCAATTTTTTCTTTACATCCTATGTTAATGCAAAAAAACAACCTGGCAATATTATATATCAAACTGTTAAATGGCAGCCATATTTTAAGCTTTATTATTTAATTTCTGCGAACGCGGCCCCAAATGCACGGTAGTTGTGCATATAGAGCACGATTTATCAATCATTTTGCTATTTATTTCATTAAAATCATCGGTACAGATTTTGAGAAATTCTCATTTTTCTATTTCTCTCATAACATCCTATGTTAATGCAAAAAAACAACCTGGCAATATTATATATCATACTGTTAAATGGCAGCCATATTTTAAACTTTATTATTTAATTTCTGCGAACGCGGCCCCAAATGCACGGTAGTTGTGCATATAGAGCACGATTTATCAATCATTTTGCTATTTATTTCATTAAAATCATCGGTACAGATTTTGAGAAATTCTCATTTTTCTATTTCTCTCATAACATCCTATGTTAATGCAAAAAAACAACCTGGCAATATTATATATCATACTGTTAAATGGCAGCCATATTTTAAACTTTATTATTTAATTTCTGCGAACGCGGCCCCAAATGCACGGTAGTTGTGCATATAGAGCACGATTTATCAATCATTTTGCTATTTATTTCATTAAAATCATCGGTACAGATTTTGAGAAATTCTCATTTTTCTATTTCTCTCATAACATCCTATGTTAATGCAAAAAAACAACCTGGCAATATTATATATCATACTGTTAAATGGCAGCCATATTTTAAACTTTATTATTTAATTTCTGCGAACGCGGCCCCAAATGCACGGTAGTTGTGCATATAGAGCACGATTTATCAATCATTTTGCTATTTATTTCATTAAAATCATCGGTACAGATTTTGAGAAATTCTCATTTTTCTATTTCTCTCATAACATCCTATGTTAATGCAAAAAAACAACCTGGCAATATTATATATCAAACTGTTAAATGGCAGCCATATTTTAAGCTTTATTATTTAATTTCTGCGAACGCGGCCCCAAATGCACGGTAGTTGTGCATATAGAGCACGATTTATCAATCATTTTGCTATTTATTTCATTAAAATCATCGGTACAGATTTTGAGAAATTCTCATTTTTCTATTTCTCTCATAACATCCTATGTTAATGCAAAAAAACAACCTGGCAATATTATATATCATACTGTTAAATGGCAGCCATATTTTAAACTTTATTATTTAATTTCTGCGAACGCGGCCCCAAATGCACGGTAGTTGTGCATATAGAGCACGATTTATCAATCATTTTGCTATTTATTTCATTAAAATCATCGGTACAGATTTTGAGAAATTCTCATTTTTCTATTTCTCTCATAACATCCTATGTTAATGCAAAAAAACAACCTGGCAATATTATATATCATACTGTTAAATGGCAGCCATATTTTAAGCTTTATTATTTAATTTCTGCGAACGCGGCCCCAAATGCACGGTAGTTGTGCATATAGAGCACGATTTATCAATCATTTTGCTATTTATTTCATTAAAATCATCGGTACAGATTTTGAGAAATTCTCATTTTTCTATTTCTCTCATAACATCCTATGTTAATGCAAAAAAACAACCTGGCAATATTATATATCAAACTGTTAAATGGCAGCCATATTTTAAGCTTTATTATTTAATTTCTGCGAACGCGGCCCCAAATGCACGGTAGTTGTGCATATAGAGCACGATTTATCAATCATTTTGCTATTTATTTCATTAAAATCATCGGTACAGATTTTGAGAAATTCTCATTTTTCTATTTCTCTCATAACATCCTATGTTAATGCAAAAAAACAACCTGGCAATATTATATATCATACTGTTAAATGGCAGCCATATTTTAAACTTTATTATTTAATTTCTGCGAACGCGGCCCCAAATGCACGGTAGTTGTGCATATAGAGCACGATTTATCAATCATTTTGCTATTTATTTCATTAAAATCATCGGTACAGATTTTGAGAAATTCTCATTTTTCTATTTCTCTCATAACATCCTATGTTAATGCAAAAAAACAACCTGGCAATATTATATATCATACTGTTAAATGGCAGCCATATTTTAAACTTTATTATTTAATTTCTGCGAACGCGGCCCCAAATGCACGGTAGTTGTGCATATAGAGCACGATTTATCAATCATTTTGCTATTTATTTCATTAAAATCATCGGTACAGATTTTGAGAAATTCTCATTTTTCTATTTCTCTCATAACATCCTATGTTAATGCAAAAAAACAACCTGGCAATATTATATATCATAACTGTTAAATGGCAGCCATATTTTAAGCTTTATTATTTAATTTCTGCGAACGCGGCCCCAAATGCACGGTAGTTGTGCATATAGAGCACGATTTATCAATCATTTTGCTATTTATTTCATTAAAATCATCGGTACAGATTTTGAGAAATTCTCATTTTTCTATTTCTCTCATAACATCCTATGTTAATGCAAAAAAACAACCTGGCAATATTATATATCAAACTGTTAAATGGCAGCCATATTTTAAGCTTTATTATTTAATTTCTGCGAACGCGGCCCCAAATGCACGGTAGTTGTGCATATAGAGCACGATTTATCAATCATTTTGCTATTTATTTCATTAAAATCATCGGTACAGATTTTGAGAAATTCTCATTTTTCTATTTCTCTCATAACATCCTATGTTAATGCAAAAAAACAACCTGGCAATATTATATATCATACTGTTAAATGGCAGCCATATTTTAAACTTTATTATTTAATTTCTGCGAACGCGGCCCCAAATGCACGGTAGTTGTGCATATAGAGCACGATTTATCAATCATTTTGCTATTTATTTCATTAAAATCATCGGTACAGATTTTGAGAAATTCTCATTTTTCTATTTCTCTCATAACATCCTATGTTAATGCAAAAAAACAACCTGGCAATATTATATATCATAACTGTTAAATGGCAGCCATATTTTAAGCTTTATTATTTAATTTCTGCGAACGCGGCCCCAAATGCACGGTAGTTGTGCATATAGAGCACGATTTATCAATCATTTTGCTATTTATTTCATTAAAATCATCGGTACAGATTTTGAGAAATTCTCATTTTTCTATTTCTCTCATAACATCCTATGTTAATGCAAAAAAACAACCTGGCAATATTATATATCATACTGTTAAATGGCAGCCATATTTTAAACTTTATTATTTAATTTCTGCGAACGCGGCCCCAAATGCACGGTAGTTGTGCATATAGAGCACGATTTATCAATCATTTTGCTATTTATTTCATTAAAATCATCGGTACAGATTTTGAGAAATTCTCATTTTTCTATTTCTCTCATAACATCCTATGTTAATGCAAAAAAACAACCTGGCAATATTATATATCATACTGTTAAATGGCAGCCATATTTTAAACTTTATTATTTAATTTCTGCGAACGCGGCCCCAAATGCACGGTAGTTGTGCATATAGAGCACGATTTATCAATCATTTTGCTATTTATTTCATTAAAATCATCGGTACAGATTTTGAGAAATTCTCATTTTTCTATTTCTCTCATAACATCCTATGTTAATGCAAAAAAACAACCTGGCAATATTATATATCAAACTGTTAAATGGCAGCCATATTTTAAGCTTTATTATTTAATTTCTGCGAACGCGGCCCCAAATGCACGGTAGTTGTGCATATAGAGCACGATTTATCAATCATTTTGCTATTTATTTCATTAAAATCATCGGTACAGATTTTGAGAAATTCTCATTTTTCTATTTCTCTCATAACATCCTATGTTAATGCAAAAAAACAACCTGGCAATATTATATATCATACTGTTAAATGGCAGCCATATTTTAAACTTTATTATTTAATTTCTGCGAACGCGGCCCCAAATGCACGGTAGTTGTGCATATAGAGCACGATTTATCAATCATTTTGCTATTTATTTCATTAAAATCATCGGTACAGATTTTGAGAAATTCTCATTTTTCTATTTCTCTCATAACATCCTATGTTAATGCAAAAAAACAACCTGGCAATATTATATATCAAACTGTTAAATGGCAGCCATATTTTAAGCTTTATTATTTAATTTCTGCGAACGCGGCCCCAAATGCACGGTAGTTGTGCATATAGAGCACGATTTATCAATCATTTTGCTATTTATTTCATTAAAATCATCG